TGGGACCTTTCTTCAGTTTTTATTTCCTATATTTAATACTTACTTACCAAACTTTTGTTTGTGTTGTCTTTAATCGGTTGTATACTAGAAATCATAAACTCTAAAGAGGAACTTTTTAGAAGGATTTAATTTCTCTCTCTTTCTCTTGCTCTCTCCATGTACATATACACATGCACATACACACAGGCACACACACATTTGCATAAGTATGTATATATGTATATACTCATATACATGTGTTTTTTAAAGCATTGCAACTTTAGGATACTGTGGAGAGGAAAAATTTAAATACAATTTCAAGAGAAGGAACTATGTAAAATTTCTCAAGGTCAAAGAAGAGCTTTTTCATGTATTTTTTTTATTTTTTAAAAAGTTTATTTATTTTTGAGAGAGAGAGAGAGACAGAGTGCAAGCACAGCAGGGGCAGAGAGAGGGAGACACAGAATCAGAAGCAGGCTCCAGGCTCTGAGCTGTCAGCACAGAGCCCGACACAGGGCTCAAACTCACAAACCACAAGATCATGACCTGAGCCGAAGTCGGACGCTCAACCGACTGAGCCACCTAGGTGCCCCTCACGTATTGTTTAAATAGATGACAGACAGTATCAAGTCACTATTATACTGATATTCCATTGGATTATAATTAAGAGTGATATAACTGTTCTATTTTTAAATATCATACACAAATATGCCAGAAACTAAATTACGTCCTTTGCAGCTATTTAATTATAAGGTAAAAACTAGATATACTTAATTTTAGGTCTCTACTAATTCTCTAGGGACACACAATTTTGCAAATTCTTTTGAGGGGTACTAAAACAAATATGCAGTACAAGAACAATGTCATCTTGAGAACATATGCTAATGGATTCACACATAGTTCAAATAGAATGGAATTTCCATCATAGCTATTTAGTCTATCTTGAAGAGTGTAACTGATATCAACACATTCTCTCTGAGCCCTCTAAAAATAATATGCTCATATGCTAGACTTTGTCAGACATTATGTAACATGTAATGCATAATTAAATAATGCCTTTTACTTTCTGTTCACTCTAAGTATATCTACATTAGTTACCATTCATGTTTCCTGGTTTTGTTACTTCATTTTGTTACTCTCATTGTGGAAATACTGTCTAATGCTATTTGGATTCTCAGTATTTCCAAGGAGTATTTCCTCAGTATTTCCAAAGCCTCACATATAATATAGTATTTCCAAAGCCTCACATATAATTTCCTCAGTATTTCCAAAGCCTCACATATATATATAATATATATAATATAAAAACTTCTATTTCTAACACCCAAGCCTTTTGACAGCTTAAAAGTCTTCTAGATTGATTTCTACAAAGACATGCCTTATTAAAGAATTTTTAACAATTCCAAGTAGACCTAGGGGAAAAAATATTCTCTAGTCACATACTTGTTTACAATTATATATATGTTCTTACATGAAATCCATTTCCCCTGAGTGGAAAATTATAAAAACATTCAAGTGTATTTAGATTAATCAAATAGCCACATGATTCTCATGTAAATATTATTTGATGGTAAATTATACCCTGTGCACTAGAAGATGATAATCCAATTTGTTATAACATTTAATTACTGATTTACTTATTAGGAGACTTTATTTTAAAGAAACAATTACACAGTAAGCTCTTCTTTCAATGCTTTTCTTGATAATTCTTACAGAAACATTATTGAAAATTGCTACAAACTTTGTTCACTTAACCTATATTATTTCTTACCGAAATTCACCATTTAAGTTAAATGCAAAATAGGGGCACCTGGTGGCTCAGCCAGTTAAGTGTACAACTCTTGATTTTGGCTCAGGTCATGATTCACAGTTGTGAGATCCAGCCCCGCATAGGGGCTGCTTTGGAGTCTTTCTCTCTCCCTCTTTCTCTACCCTCTTTGACTCTCTCTTTCTCTCAAAATAAATAAACTTTAAGTTAAATGTAAAATGGACTAACCGGTAAGTTAAAAGCAATAAAAAATGTAGAAAGAAATTAAAGTGAAAATGTATTGATGGATATGCTTATGAACTTTTCCTCTCATTGATTAGACACACAATTCAAGGATCAATTTGATCTTTCCCTTCCTATTTCCAAAGATAACACTAAGTTTCCTGGATTATTCTGATAAAAAATAAAAGTTAGCCAAGTAAACAGTCTCAAACAGCAATATACAGCAAAACCTTGGATTGCAAGTAACTTGTTCTGCGAGTGTTCCACGAGATGAACAACATTTCTAATAAATTTTAACTTGAGAAACGAGAGATGTCCTGCAACACGAGTAGTACATGATGCTAAATGTCACATGATCATGACTGAGTCAGTGGTTCTCTTTCACTGGAGGATTGTGGGTGATCATCTCCCATGCTCCCATGCTTGGTCTCAGGATGCGGTGTTTGGCAGAAATCAGTGATTTTTTAGAACATTGGAAGGTGCCCATAACGGGACTAGTGTATTTTTTGTCACTTCAAAGTACCTATGGACAGTCCTTTACTTTTCCATACAAGAGTAAGCTTAGGAATGCTTTGCTTCATTCAAGGTCATTGGATAGGTTCCAACTTGGTAAAGTTGCACAAAAAGAAGAAGATTCCATCGAGCCAATAGGTAGCAGTTAGTGACAGTGAAAGTAGTCCTACACAATAATCCTCCTCTTGTCTCCCTCACACCAGCCACAAAGGTTTCCAAAGGTAAGTGTAGGTTAGTTTATTTTTCTTTATATTTTGTAGTTTCTTTATTATTTTGTATTATACTACAGTACTATAATCATTTTTATATTAATATTTTTGGGTTGTGGAACAAATCATCTGAGTTTCCATTATTTCTTATGGGGAAATTCTCTCTGACATACAAGTGCTTTGGATTATAAGCATGTTTCCTGAAGGAATTATGCTCACAAACCAAGGTTTTGCTGTACTTTAATGGCTGATTTTGGATAAATTCACTGTGAATGCAATGTAAGAAAAATAATATATTTTTTTCAAATAAAGGAAGGAGTGTTAGAAAAGTAGTTAGCAAAGGAAATAAATCGTTGACAGAGTTCACCGAGGCATCTAACATAAATTCTTCCTATCTTACTTCTATCCTTCATAATTTGAAAGCTGAAAATCTGTGTCATATGCCTATTTTAATACTGAAAATCTAGATCCCAAATAATGGACCCATTTACCATAAGACAATTGGAATTACAACTAGGTCCAAAACTGAGCAGGAAATTGAAGTTGTTTCTGGGTAACCAAAAACAACTTTGAATTAAAAATTTAGAAAAAACATTTGAATTTTTATTAAATTAGAAATACTTTTAAAAATAAAAATGTATTGGGGCACCTGGGTGGCTCAGTCGGTTGGACGTCTGACTCTTGGTTTCGGCTCAGGTCATGATCTCACAATTTCGTGGGTTTAAGCCCCTCATCAGGCTCTAAGCTGGCAGTGTGGAGCCTGCTTGGGATTCGCTGTCTCCCTCTCTCTGCCCCTCCCCCACTTGCACTATCTCTGTCTCTCTCAAAATAAATAAATAAATGTAAAAAAAATTTTTTTAAAGAAAAATGTATTCTGCATAGAATAAGCAGTTAAATTTATCAATATTTAAGATATGCATAGATGTATAATTAAAGATTTTTTAAAAATCCAAACCAATATTAGTAATCTATTATGAGTTCATCAATTCATTTCAATTTCAATATTCATTTCAATTTTATATCCTCTATACTGTAACATGCTACATATATTTGTAGCTGCCAAATCAATACTCACGGTGCTTTCAGTCATTTGCAGACATGCACAAAGCCTCAAAAAATGTGCATTGCCCAGCTGAGGCATCAGAAGAAGATAATCTGCTTGTTTATTTCAGCTCTCAAACTGAAAAAAGTGTCCTTTTCCCAGTCTATTTAGTGCCATGTTTATTGCACTATTACTCATGCTTCAGTGAAACCTATCCAACACCTGTATTTTCTCCACAAGGCACATCACAATCATAGCCTTCTTCCACTTAGTAATGCTAGGTAGCACTAGATAGCACTGTGCTCAGGGGGCATTTTAAACAGTGAAATGATTAACAAAAAAAGCATAAAAATGCAAAATAAATTTTAAAAAAAGTACTAACAGACCACAAAATTCTTAATTGTTTCCAAGATTGAGAGCTAAAATGAGAAGGCAGAGCACTGCCTTGTTCAACCTTAACTCTAGAAGCAATGGCTCAGCATTAGCTAATGCAGTGTTTTACTGTGATTTTAGAGAGTGGAACTACTGTGAATAAGGAGAACTAAGTACAATTTCATAACCCCAGAGTCTCTTAAAAGGGGTTTATTGAAACCTAAATCATAGAGAAAAGGTTAACACCTCTGCCTGACACAAGCAGTATTATGAATATTAGATTATTTGCTATTATATAAAAGCTACATTTTTTTTAAATAAGCTCTAAGCCCAGGGCACCTGGGTGGCTCAGTTGGTTGAGTGTCCAACTCTTGATTTCAGCTCAAGTCATGATCCCCCGGTCATGGGATTGAGTCCCATGTCAGGCTCTGCACTGAGTGTAGAGCCTATGTAAGTCTCCTTCTCTCTCTCTCTCTCTGCCTCTGCCTCTCTGCCCCTCTCCCCTGCTCAAACACCCTCTCTCTAAAATAAAATAAAAAATAAAATATAAAATATGTATTTCTAAAAAATAAAACAATTAAGTTCTAGGCCCAACGTGAGGCTTGAACTCAGGACCTTAAGATCAGGAGTTGCATGCTCTATGGACTGAGCCTGCCAGGCACTCCAAAAGCTACATTTCTTATATAACAGTGTATATGGCTTATAGGAGAATAGAAAAATTTAAATAGACTCTAATTAGTATGTCTTCACAATTCTGAATCAAGTCAGCATGCTGCCAGTATTTTCAATTGATTCATAGAAATTAACTTTAGGTAAGAAATAACTCATTAGAACAAACCTGAATAGTTAGAAATGTTCATCAAGTAACCATTCCAAATAATTAGGTTTTTCTTACTTGTAGCCAAGCTGGCGACAAATCACAGTTGCGTCCTTATCAGTCCACCCATCATCACAAATTGTTCCCCACTGGCCATTGATGAAAACCTCCACTCGTCCTTCTTTCTTATTTTCTCCATCCATCAGTCTGATAGGAAAACCTAAGTCATGATTCAAAAGTATTAGAAAAGCCAAAACAGCAAACTGATGTCAAAGTATGAAAGATTTTGTAAAACACAAATCATTTTTTTAAATTAACTATAAAATTAGCTGGGTAATACGAAAGAGTGAATGAGAGAGAAGTGTTAATAAAAAACCATATCCACTTTTGCAATATCTTTTGAAGTCTTTGGGTCAGAGTACTCACTTGCTCAACTATGAATTCCCAAGCACTTGGAACAGTACCTCATATATAGAGGACATGCCACAGCTGTTTGTTGTATGAATGAATAAATGAATGAATGGATAATTAGCACTGTAATTTGTGAATGGCTTTATTACCACTAACTTCTTTTTTTTTTAATTGAGGTTCAATTTATAGTGTAGTATTGGTTTAAGGAGTAGAATTTAGTGATTCATCATTTACACATTAACACCCAGTGCTCATCCCAACAAGTGCCCTCCTTAATGCCATCACCCATTTAGCCCATTCCCCTGTGCACCTACCCTCCAGCAACCCTTAGTTTTCTATCATTAAGAGTCTCTTATTATTTCCACTACCTTCTAAATAGTAAAAGATATTTCCTTGGAGTTGTTTTTGTTTCATGTCTGGTCATTTATCCTTGAGCACAGCTAAAAATTTATACTCCAAAGCTGAGATTTTTAAGAAGGCATAAACATATATACCCTTGGCATGCATGGGTAACTTGAATGCGTGGAGAAAAAAAACGAAGGCAGCTAACAAGGACAATTTCCATCTCAGGCTTCTCATTTACTATTGCTTTCAAAAGAAGGGCTTAAATCATACAAATTACTAAGACAACTAAAGTTGAATGTAAATGTTATGTACAGCATGGTGAGTATAGTTAATAATACTGTATTTCATATTTGAAAGTAGCTGAGATTAGATCTTAAAAGTTCTCAACACAAGAAAAATAATTTTTTGTAACAATGTAAGGTGATGGGTGTTAATTAGACTTGTGTTGATCATTTTACAATGTATACAAGTACTGAACCATTATGCTGTATGCCTGACACTAATATAGTATGTCCATTATGCCTCAAGACTTTAAAAAATGCTGAAGCTAGAAAATAAAAATAATAAAAATTTAAAATAAATAGAAGTCATTCCTTTTTTTTTAAAGTTGAGAAACTGATCTCTAGCAAACTGAGGTTTATCTAAGTTATGTAAATGATTTATAGAATTTCATGTATCTCTATTGACACCATTAAAGATGGTGCTATTTACCAAGAAGCATAAAATACCTAGGGATAAATCTAACCAAAGATGTAAAAGATCTGTATGCTGAAAACTATAGAAAGTTTATGAAGGAAATTGAAGAAGATATAAAGAAATGGAAAAACATTCCGTGCTCATGGATTGGAAGAATAAATATTGTCAAAATGTCAATACTACCTAAAGCTATCTACATATTCAATGCAATCCTAATAAAAATTGCACCAGCATTCTTCTTGAAACTAGAACAAGCAATCCTAAAATTCATATGGAACCACAAAAGGCCCCGAATAGCCAAAGTAATTTTGAAGAAGAAGACCAAAGCAGGAAGCATCACAATCCCAGACTTTAGCCTCTACTACAAAGCTGTCATCATCAAGACAGCATGGTATTGGCATAGAAGCAGACACATAGACCAATGGAATAGAATAGAAACCCCAGAACTAGACCCACAAACGTATGGCCAACTCATCTTTGACAAAGCAGGAAAGAACATCCAATGGAAAAAAGACAGTCTCTTTAACAAATGGTGCTGGGAGAACTGGACAGCAACATGCAGAAGATTGAAACTAAACCACTTTCTCACACCATTCACAAAAATAAATTCAAAATGGATAAAGGACCTGAATGTGAGACAGGAAACCATCAAAACCCTAGAGGAGAAAGCAGGAAAAGACCTCTCTGACCTCAGCCGTAGCAATTTCTTACTTGACACATCCCCAAAGGCAAGGGAATTAAAGCAAAAATGAACTACTGGGACCTTATGAAGATAAAAAGCTTCTGCACAGCAAAGGAAACAACCAACAAAACGAAAAGGCAACCAACGGAATGGGAAAAGATATTTGCAAATGACATATCAGATGGACAAAGGGCTAGTATCCAAAATCTATAAAGAGCTCACCAAACTCCACACCTGAAAAACAAATAATCCAGTGAAGAAATGGGCGGAAAACATGAATAGACACTTCTCTAAAGAAGACATCCGGATGGCCAACAGGCACATGAAAAGATGTTCAACGTCGCTCCTCATCAGGGAAATACAAATCAAAACCACACTCAGATATCACCTCACACTAGTCAGAGTGGCCAAAATGAACAAATCAGGAGACTATAGATGCTGGAGAGGATGTGGAGAAACGGGAAACCTCTTGCACTGTTGGTGGGCAAGCAAATTGGTGCAGCCACTCTGCAAAACAGTGTGGAGGTTCCTCAAAAAATTAAAAATAGACCTACCCTATGACCCAGCAATAGCACTGCTAAGAATTTACCCAAGGGATAGAGGAGTACTGATGTATAGGGCACTTGTACCCCAATGTTTATAGCAGCACTCTCAACAATAGCCAAATTATGGAAAGAGCCTAAATGTCCATCAACTGATGAATGGATAAAGAAATTGTGGTTTATATACACAATGGAGTAATACGTGGCAATGAGAACGAATGAAATATGGCCCTTTGTAGCAATGTGGATGGAACTGGAGAGTGTGATGCTAAGTGAAATAAGCCATACAGAGAAAGACAGATACCATATGTTTTCACTCTTATGTGGATCCTGAGAAACTTAACAGAAACCCATGGGGGAGGGAAAGGAAAAAAAAAAAAAGAGGTTAGAATGGGAGAGAGCCAAAGCATAAGAGACTCTTAAAAACAGAACAAACTGAGGGATGATGGGGGGTGGGGAGGGTGGGTGATGGGTATTGAGGAGGGCACCTTTTGGGATGAGTACTGGGTGTTGTATGGAAACCAATCTGACAATAAATTACATATATTGAAAAAAAAAAAGATGGTGCTATTTAATTGAAAGCACCCTCACTGCACCTTGCATACTGTCATGGGTTGAACTGTGATGTCGTCACGGTGGGCCCTAATCCAGTATGACTGATGTCCTTATAAAAAGGACAGATTTGAATAGTGAGATACACAGAGGGAAGACTCTGAGGAGGCACAGGGAAAAGATGGCCATCTATAAGACAAGGAGAGTAACCTGGAACACAGCTTCCCTCTTAGCCCTGAGAAGCAATCAATCCTGATGACACCTGGATTTTGGACCCCAGAAATGTGAGACAACACATACCTGTTGTTTAAGCCATCCACTGCATGGTACTTTGTTACAGCAGCCCAAGCAAACCAATACACTTTAGATCACCTAGTTACTGAAAGGGTCTCCAGCTTTGGGCCCCTACGATTTACTGGTACGGATTTAGGGAATACCATGAAGCATGCGGAACTGATTAGAGCTAAAGAGGCGAAGTAAGCAGCTAAAGAAAAAATATCATTTCTCTTTAAAACAACATATGACATTGCTAGATTGGCCTTTGTTTACTGACAGAAAATACTGTTGGCAAGATGAACATACCCTACTTTGATCCTTCTGATCCATTTTTATTTCTCCATCCTTCTTTGTTTTATCCCCAGAGTTGTTGGCACTTTTGTTTCTGTACCTGTCATACTCACTTCGTGGGGCGGGCATCATAGCAGAATCAAGATAGCAAAATCAAAATCAACAAATGTTTATGAAGTGCCTACCCTATGCATGGCTTATGCTGGGGTTTTAGCCATGTCACAAAACACAGTATATTTGAAACATTACATTTCTTATTAACGCATCTGAAAGTTTGGAGTTTTTTCTAAAAGGAATAAGGTAAAAAAAGTGATCCTCAAAGAAAAAAATCCAAAAAGGTGAAGTTCTTTTCTTAAAGTTCTTAATTTTTAAATTTTGGGATGTTTGGTCCAAAATTAAGTAAACATATGTACATGGAATTAGATTTCCACATTCCATTCTAGTCATTTTATGGGCAGTTTTTCATATACCATAAAAATAAAAATGGGAAAGTGTTTTTAAAGCCTCAGTTGCATGCTTTGAATAAATAATGCATGCAGTATTTCTGAACCTAACTTTAGCCCTTCATTTTACAAAATCATTGGATTTTCAATGCTTGAAGGGCAAACTGGATGACAAAAGCCATTCTATCAACACCACCTTACTGTTTAAGTTCTTTTCATTATGGTAGCAATAATATACATGTTTTATTTCTAAAATCTTAAATATAAAGTGCTCGGGAAAACTAAATAGTCCTCTGGGCATCTAAGTATCTTTAATATATAATTTAATTATATATTTCAAACTTGGACCTCCAAAAGTTTTAATTTTCCTGTAACATTGATATAATACATTATTTTTAGAAAATAATATTTTTACTAGAAGATAAAATTTAACTTATGTTAAAAGTCAAATTTTTATATTGTAAAATTAGGTAAGAGACCAGCTCACTGTGGATAAAATCTCTCTAGGATATAATACTCTGAAATACAGAATTGGTGCAATATTGGGGCACCTGGTTAGCTCAGTCAGAAGAGTATGAGATTCTTGATTTTGGGATCATGAGTTCGAGCCCCACATTGTGTGTAGGGATTACTTAAGTAAATAAAACTTAAAAAAATGATCAGTGCAATATTAAAATGAGAAATCCATATATTTACCATTCTGCATATTTCCCCCAATTCCCATAAGTATTAACTACATTCTTATTGGAATTACTTTTATTGAATTAGAATATTACTTTTCAGCATTCCACCTACATGTCTACTGGACAAGTATTAATTTTGAGAACACTTTCATTCACTTTCAGAGTTAAGGTACACAAGTTATCCTTTAAATACTTGAAAACAGTAATAGTCCAACAGCTCATTATTACAGTGTCAAAGGAGTAAAAAAATCTCAATTGCTTTTAAAAATGCTGCTTTGTGGGGCGCTTGGGTGGCTCAGTCGGTTAAGCGGCCGACTTCGGCTCAGGTCACGATCTCACACTCCGTGAGTTCGAGCCCCGCGTCGGGCTCTGTGCTGACCGCTCAGAGCCTGGAGCCTGTTTCAGATTCCGTGTCTCCCTCTCTCTGACCCTCCCCCGTTCATGCTCTGTCTCTCTCTGTCTCAAAAATAAATAAACGTTAAAAAAAAATTTTTTAAAAAAATGCTGCTTTGTATATCACTATTCCATGATTTCCTTCTCTAAGCTTCTGTTTTAAATATGTAGTCCTTTTTGATAAGTGGGAAAATAATAATCTCTTTGGATGGATAAATGGTAATATGATTCTATTCTAAAAGTATATTTGGCTCAGACATAATGCTCTTCAGACAAATGAATAGTTAATAAATGTATTACTGAAATTAGGACTCAAGACATTTACAATAATGATCACATATTTTATTAATAATTATCATCCTCAGCTTTTTAAATTTTTTAAAAATATGTCTAGAATCCTAGAATTAAAGATTTTCAGGGTAACTGAAGAGATTAGTTGCCTAACCATATGCATGTATTTAACCACACGGTCCTTCAGATAACTCAGATTATCATATTTTGTATAATATTTATAGTAGTTCATCGCCTGGAATACTGATGAATAACGTGCCTGAATATATCACTCCATGATCGAAATACCTACTATCTAGGGCTAAGGGTATACATTTCTAGCAAACGTTTTTGTTTTTTTTTTTAATTAAAAAAAATTTTATGTTTAATTTTTTGAGAGAGCACACAAGCAGGGGAGGGTCAGAGAGGGAGACAGAGAATCCAGAGCATGCTCCACTGTGCTTTCCACTGTCAGCACAAAGCCTGAACCCACAAATCCTGATATCATGACCTGAGCTGAAGTTGGACATTCAACCGACTGAGCCACCCAGGCACCCCTTTAGCAAATAGGTTCTATCTCCCCAACCACATACAATCTTTCATCACATAATCCTGGGAGGATTACAATCCCCCAGAAGAAGAAAGGATTAAGAGAAGAGGACAAATGAAAAGCAAAGTTGGAAGTATGGCTTGTAAGGGATAGAGTAAAATATTGTATTTCTACTTCATATAATGCTAGATTAGTGCAGTGAGTTCTCACAGTTTAGAGTACAAGGAGGAATCAACTATGTACTTTGACAAACTTAAATATACAATACAGTTAATACTGTGAGATTCAACAAGTTATGTTATTTTATAATGTGAAGATTTAAGCTTCACAGTCTCAAAACAGAAGGATACAAAAGGGGTTGATTCAACTCTGAGGTGAAAAGTAAAGACCACTTGGGATTATTTTAACATCTATTCATCAAAAAATATGTGTTTGGATATATAATAGAGCCATGGTAGTGTCTTGACAAGTCTTTTTAATATCTCCCTGTGTCTTATCCATTCATATTTATTCTGCCATCCTCAAAAGATGTTAAGATGTTAAGAATAGTCAGATGTTAATTAAATCTGTCAAGGACATGTACGTGCTCTCTGCTCACAAAAGGATCTTTATCCATAAATATTTCCAGACTATTAGATGAGCTACTTACCTTTTATCCAATCAGAAGTCTAGAGAAATTTGGAACTGAGGAACAGTATAAGACACTGATGGGTTTCTAGAGTAACAGGGTACCTTAAAAAGATGGATTGACTATTTTCTCCAGTGAATCCACTTAGGAACCCACTGAGAAATTTGAAAGATCTAGGTTAGGACACAGCAATGAATGGCTGGTGACCAATGACTGACAAGGCCTTGGACCTAAAGAAGAAATAAATCATAGGAGAGAGAGCTATTGTTTTGTTCTGATTTTTTAAAATCCTGTCCCCAATTTTTCCTTAGAATTCAAGATGAATGATAATCAGAATAGGGGACCGATGAATAGGGCAACAGACATTATAGCTTCTTCACTCAATATTTCAGATCCATGTGACTATAAAGATTTTTAGTGAGAAATGTAAGCTTCTAGGTAAAGAACAGTAACTTTAGGAGCAAAAATTTTATAACATTGGTGGAGAGACTCAAAAGTTGATTTAGAGCATTATTAGAAAACTGACTTTAAAAAGCCAAAACTGAGAAATGTTTCACATGCCGGACCAATGAATAGAGGTGCATGGGCTATTGAATTATGGATACTCAAAAGCTGTGGCCAATCCTCACCCAGTGATAGTCTGTGTCCATTGCCACCAGGGTAGCAGGTGATACCAACATCTTCCCGATGGCTGCAGTCATGCTTTCCCCACTGCCTCCAGGAACACTGAGTGAAACTTGTTTCTTTTCCAGAGCAGCTGACGTCATCCAACCATATGGGCCCTGTGCTTTCTTCAAAGTGGTTTGCAGAGGCTTGTTTGCCATATCTGTGGCAATAAAATAAACGCTGTGCATGGAACTGCTGTCTCTTGTGTCAAGGAACCACAAAACATAAAAACAAACAACCTAATTAAGCATCACGACTCTGGAGGATATTTGTTCTTTCTCCTATCTTAAGGACACAGTTCTTAGAGCAGTGTTCACTCCAGCACACATTTTGATCACATGAAAATTTTTGATTGATTCAACAGGTACCTAATGGATAATTAACTCATGAAAGAGAATGCAAAACAAGATAGAACTCCAATTTCTGACAATGGAAATAATATCATGAACCATAAAACCAGAACAGTTGTCTTGTTTCAGCTCTGAAGAGCCACCTGATTTCATCACCTTCTCTAGACCTCTTTGGTATCATCCCTTCCAAAATAAAACTGTGTATATTAGTTCAGTGATTCCTCAAACACTACACCCACTCCATCATGAGACTTGCTTGGATTTCGACCATAAAAATCGAATAATAGCAATGTTCTTAGTTTTTCATAAGGTTACATAAATCTGATTTTTAATTTTTTTAGAAATTATCTTTGTGTTTAGGGGCGCCTGGGTGGCGCAGTCGGTTAAGCGTCCGACTTCAGCCAGGTCACGATCTCGCGGTCCCTGAGTTCGAGCCCCGCGTCGGGCTCTGGGCTGATGGCTAAGAGCCTGGAGCCTGCTTCCCATTCTGTGTCTCCCTCTCTCTCTGCCCCTCCCCCGTTCATGCTCTGTCTCTCTCTGTCCCAAAAAAATAAATAAACGTTAAAAAAAAAAAAAATTAAAAAAAAAAAAGAAATTATCTTTGTGTTCCAATTGACCTTAATTATAACAATGCACTACAAAAAATTATAATAAATATATACATTATAGAACTAGGTAAAATCTGCAAAAAAAAAAAAAATTGGTAACTAAGTCATTCATCCTTCACCAATTTTACTTTCTTTGTTCTGTAAAATCCAAATCTCCAGAAATCACTGAGCTAAAAACTATTTAAGGTGCCTTTCAGGCCTAAGAGTCTATGTAATTAAACTCTTACTCTTAAAATTTTATGTCAGTCACTTCCCTCAATGAATGCTTTCATTATTTCTGTACAAAGAATATAAAGAGATCTTTCTGGCATGAAGTTTCCCAATTATTTTCCTTTGCACATATTTGATACATTTATCTAAGAAGATGAACATTTTAATAGGTTAAAACAGTGCAGCTTTTAATTAATTATTCTAAGATTTCCCCTATTTTGCTGACTAATCAAATCTGAGCTAGAAAAAAAATTATCCTAAATCTCATATTGCTACCACTTTCAACTTATACCATTTATCCAAATAATGCATCATTCTGATTACTGTCTGTCCATATCAACTATAGAACAGATGACAAGACGTCATTTTACTTTGGCATTTTATTTGTGCAAAGAAACTTAGAGTTCACCCATTCCTCATCCCAAAATAGTATTCTGCTTTAGAAATTCTCCTGTAAACCAAAAGTACATGTGGTACATGCCTATTTTACCTTCCAACACAATCTTATAGAACTGTTAACAAATATTAGTGAGAATACTTTTTAAACCATTAAATTCTGATTCTCTGTATATACAAGAAAAATTGAATATATTTGTAAAACAAAATTAATAAAGTAGAAACACTAAGTCTCATTCTGTTGTTTTTATTAATAAGGAAAAATATGAAGATAGTGACTAATAATATTTATGAATCTTTCTAAATCTGTGAAAATAGAATGCAGTTCTCAGGTCTAACGTTCACTTAAAGATGAAATAGTATTTATTAAATAATTCTTATTAATTAAGCATTAATATTTATTTGGTTTGTACATCATACCCCTCAACCCAATAATTATAACTGCACTGTCCATGAAAATTCAAAATATTGGGCAATAATATGTATTTATATCTTCATGATATCATTAGTTATAACAGGAAAAATTAAACTAACCTAAATATTAAGTAAATTATGACATGAATATTCAATGGACATTATGTTATCATTAAAAATTATGACTGTAGTACTATTAAGGTAAGAAATATGGATAGAAAATGCATGTACTTACTATTAAAGTTGTTATAAAATTATACACACAAATTATAATAATAATGGTTTAAGAATGGAAAAATTAGGGGTAGTTTTTAATTTTTATTTTCTAAAATCTAATATTTTACATTACTTTGACAAATTTAAAAAATATGTTTAAACACGATCATACCTAGCTTGGATGAAAGTATATTTTTAAGGTTTAATGAGTATATGCAATTAGCTCTGTCTCAAGCATGAAATAATTTTGCCAATTTTTCCAAGCCTGAGAATTAATTCAAGCATGACCCAGAAATATGAAAAACAAGAAAGAATGGGCATTCATAGGCTTCATTCAAATATTAGCTAAAAGGCATCATTTGCAGACCAACTGAAATCTTTACTCTGGAATGCATTATGTGTGTGACATGAAATATATTGCCCAAAGTGTGATACTAGCTTTTAAGAGAGTAAGGTCAAGGGTGAGTTCTAAAGGTCATCTCATGACAAGAAGGCTGTTTTTCTCAAATAAAAGTGATAATTATCATCACATTTAAGCAAGGGATTGACACTGGGTTTGCCTGCAATTTTAGACACAATGATGTCAGAACTAAGAACATCTAATAGCAGTGATGCGTCAGAAGAAAATCCAGCATTCAAAGCATACAGTCTTACTTGAATGGACACAAAGAAAACCTAAAAGTCACCGATGGCTCCAATCAATTACTCAAGAAGAGGGGTGGTGACAGGAAAGGTAATGAGATAAAAACAAGACATGGTTATTTGTCATCACAGAAAATGTTATTTTTTTTTAATTTTTATTTTTTATAGTTACTCCATATATAGATAGGTGAATAGGCAGGTAGGTAGGTAGACAGATGATAGAGAACATGCACTGTTAGTATGATAGAAATTATAAGTAAGGATTGTAAAATGAGGATTTAAAAAATATAACTTGCATTGAGCTGCATCATATCAATGGACCTTACTTAAATCCCAGTTGTCGGCAAACCACATATGTATTCAGCTCAGTCCAGCCATCATCGCAGACAGTCCCCCACCGTCCCCTATAATACACCTCCAGGCGACCCTCATGGCTGCCTTTACCACCTCCAAGTCTGATGACCCCATCTGTGGTAAGAAGGAGACACAGAGACTGAGCAAACCACTTATCAAAAAAGGAACAACATTTTAATTTCACTAAAATTATCACCTCTCTCTCTAGGCCTTTTGTTTAACTTATTTCAAGACTGCTCAGTGATCTGTCATTGGACTGTTTCTGAAGTATGACATAACATATATTTGTCCTAACAAAATATTCTTTTCTCCTTATTTGCACTTCTAATTTCTGATCAGAAAAATATACTCTGATATAATTCCAAACTAGTTATTTAGATTTCTCCAGATTAAATAATATTTGGGAAATTTCCTATAGCTTCAATCTCCAGAAGTATGAGAAAATTAGTCATTTAAACTAAAAAAATAAGAAAACATCGAAACTTGGAAATGGTTCAAAATTTTAACCGCAAATGAAAAAAGTACTGAAATACAAAGACAGAAAAAGCTATTCTGGTTAAAGTGTGGTCTATCGTGTCAATGCATTTATTATTCCTTAGGCATTCATAAATTATAAAAACTGGGGTACACGTCTCACTTGTGTTCTTTTATTGATAATACAGATCTGAATTTGAAGCTTATGAGTTCAATGAATAATTAATTCCCAGAAAACCCTGTTAAGAGCTGCGTAGCAGATATATAATACATTTATCCCCCCAAAAGTAGATTTAAAAGCCATTTCCATGCAAGATAATCCAAACATCCCCAAATGAAACATATAAATAATCCTGGGTAAAGGTGATACTTTTCATGAATCTCTGGGATCTGAAAAGTAAATGGTCTCTTAGCAACACAATCACTTATTAATGTAATACTTTACAGTCTGCAAAACACTGCTACACATTTTACCTCATTTGACCATCACAGTAACACTACAAAATTACACTCATTTGAAAGAGGAGGAAATGGAGACCCAAAAAGATGATGTTCTCTGGCTTAAAATCTGGTATAAATTTTATATTTCTATTGTATATAAACATGTTATTCTGCTAATAAAAACAACAGCATGTATAGAAATATATAAATAAAAAGGTATAACTTCAGCATTTCATGGGCCCTCCAAAGTTTTTATTTTCATTTTTTAAAGAAAGATTACAAACCCCACTTATTTTCTTCAAGTTCTTTTTACCATAGAAACAATGGATTTGTGATGACCCAACTTCTTGTCTGTCCCTTTCCCCCTTCTTCCCACAAAACATGTAAGTACATATGCAAACGCACTTATTTGTACTCAGACATGCCCTTCTTATAACACATCCTGACCAGCATGCTGAGATTTGGAACAGTTGGAGAGGTGAGCGCCGTCAAGTTAAGTTGGTTCCTTTACTAGTGTGCTTTACCCCACAATCCCATCAATATGGTTTCACCAGTTAGGAACGTATTCTGAGACAAGGCAGGTCAATAGATAAAGGAACTAAATATATACCTAGTATATGAAATTTATCATTGCACACTGATTTTGATTATTGGATTTATTTCATTATATATTGCAACAAAATTGTATTTTTAGGACTGTATAGCTTCAGGGTGACAAATTCAGAAATATTTATGGATAAGAACATACCATTTTAATACACAGCTTGTGTTCATTTGGGTTTTGTTTTTGTTTTTGTTTTTTAGTTTTATTTGTAGGATTTATTTGCATGCTCATTTATATTATCTTAAATTGAAGAGAAAAAAAGGTAAGCCCAGATGGTGGTGCGGGCAAGAGTTGGTAGATTAATGGGGTGCAATTCTTACCTGTCAGAGGGGTACAGGACACTCCAGCATCTTCTTTATGGTCACAGTTATGCTCTCCCCAGGAACTCTTTGGACATTGTTCAATAGAAAGCTCATTCCCAGTACAGCGTACCTCATCCAACATTATTGGACCAGAGCCTTCCCCAAAATATGCCTGGTTCCATGCTTTGGCAATGCCACTGAACAAACATAAGAATTCTGGATTAGACATTAAAAGTTAGTCTGACATAATTTCTTTTACCCCAGTAAAGGCATATTTATGATTAATCCATACTTCCCCTTACCAATTCACTCCCATAGCTCATATATGACTAGCTGTATTTCTTTCTTGTTCAGTTGTTACTCTTTATATTTTTGGCCATCACAAATGTTTTAATTTTTTTTTTAAATGTTTGTTTATTTTTGAGAGAGAAAGGGAGACAAAACATGAACACGGGAAGGGCAGAGAGACAGGGAGACACAGAATCCTGAAGCAGGCTTCAGGCTCTGAGCTGTCAGCACAGAGCCCAACATGGGCTGACCTGAGCCGAAGTTGGACGCTTAACCAACTGAGCCACCCAGGCGTCCCGGCCATCACAAATGTTTTAGACTGCTAGTTATCCCCCAATATTTACTCTCCTTTTCTTCATTAGAAATGGAACCACAGATTTTTAGGAGGGCAATGGCTATCCTGAGTAAAGACCACATCTCCCAGCCTCTTCTCCTTCCAGATGACTGTTTGTTTTAAAATACACAGAGCATAACATTTACCACTTTAACCATTTTTAAGTGTACTAAGCACATTCTCATTCTTGTGCAACTATTACCACTACCACCACCCATCTCCAGAACTCTTTAATCATCCCAAACTCAAACTCTGTACCCATCTTAGATGACTAAGTTTTGACCAATGATATTTAAGTAGAAGTGTTGTCCTATATCACTTCCAGGAAGTATCTTTGTTCCACTCTCTCCTTTCTGCTGACTGCAAGGCAGAGGTGATGGCTAGAGCTTGAGAAGCTATATTGGTCCATGAGGTGCTATGTTAAGAATGACAGAACTACAAGTAAAAAAGAGCCTGGGCCCTGATGATTGTGGAACCACCATACTAGCCTTGAGCTGGCTACCTCTGTTCTCTTGAGAGAGAAATAAACTCTTATCTTGCTTAAGCCACTGTTATTTTCAGTTCTCTGTTACTCACAACCAAACATATTTCTAACTAAAACATCTCTTCACTCAAATTTATTTGTACTAAATTTACTTCTGCCGCAATTCAAAGTGATACTACATTCTAGAACGTCAGATTTCACTCAAGATGATCATGATTGACTGTCAAAATGATTAATAACTTCAGAAATTGCAATTTCAACACCTTTTAGCCTTTTAATTTTTAGAGTAGAGCATTTATATTCGTGGTTATTCCCCATTATTTTAGTTGCCTTTTTCTCACAGCATTATAACTACCTTGAGAATTTAAACCAAAATATATTGAAGGGAAAAAAAAGTTTGCTAAATGTGTATAATACCCCAACAATGGCAAAGTTTTAGATAATCAACTTCATGGTTAAAGAAGAGCTTATTTGACTAATCTAGATACCATGGAAGTTTCTTTTAAGAGAACGTGTCTAAAACAAACCCGAGGGGTGGCTAGGTGGCTCAGTTGGTTAAGTGTCCAACTCTTGGTTTCTGCTTAGGTCGTGATCTCATGATTCGTGAGATCAAGCCCCGCACTAGGCTCCACTCTGACAGTGCAGAGCCTGCTTGGGATTCTCTCTCCTTCCTCTCTCTGCCCCCTGCCCTGCTCATGCTCTCTCTCTCTCTCTCTCTCAAAATAAATAAACTTACAATTAATTAATTAATTAATTAAACAATAAGGAAAACCCCCAAACATCTGAAAGTTAAACCCTTTAATACCCTTTATTAAAGGTATTAATAAAGTTAAGCTTTTTAAATACCATTAAAGCAAATACTTGTTCCATTATCACTTGACCCACTTCCTGTTTAATATCCAGAGATTCTGCAAGGGGAAAGATAAAGGAATGTTTATAGGAAGAGGTGTGAAGAAAGCTGGAGGAAAGGAAAAATAGGTAGCTTATGCAGCATATTTTGGTGGAGTTAAAATTTTTAAATTTAGAATCCTGACACTTGAGTCACTACCTGATATTTGTCATACAGTAGCCTCTAAGAAGACTGCCCCAACAAATATTAAAGATTAATATCTAGAGCTAATCAGACAAACGTGAAAGGAAAAAAAATAATCCTAACACAAATGAAATTATCAAATGATACAACTTGGTGAGTGAATTTGTTTTGCTAGGGGATATATATGGCAGAACAAAAAGCCATTTCTACTCTTCTGGAAAGAAGGAATAAATGCTCAATTAATAGGATTTTTTTAAATGAAGTTTTCAGTTGTTTCAATGTATGTCTATGTGCCCACAGAAGAGTGTAATATGGACACACATATACATGTTCATATATTACTGACCATGTCAAAAAGCTTATTCTTTCCAAGCTGAATCTTTGAAGAAGAAAAGCAGATGTGGAGACAGGCCTTCAGATTCAAATCTGGGCTCTATTTTTACCAACGTAAGCTGCCCCGGAGAAGTTACAAAAACCTTCCAGGCCTGAAATGCTTCTTTTGAACATAGGGATGATAAATGTTCCCTTGCAGGGTTATAAGAATTAAACTGATGCAAAGTAGGAAGTGAATAAATGTTGGTACCTTTCCCAATCTGGCACTTTCAAGAAGCTTCCCCTTCATGGTTGATGAAGAGCATATTTTTCACTGCTAAGCAATTTATCTAAAAACCATTTGGCATTTGGTTTAAACAAACAGCATAGTTTTTGTTCTCCCTGCTCCCCAAAGGTAGAGTCAGGCAAGTGGTGGGCAGGGTTGAAACAATGAAAATCTTAACATTTTCTGGTTTTAAGGTTGCAAACATGTTTTAATTAATTAATTAATTAATTTGTTTTGAAATCACTAAAAAAAATTACTTATGGAAGTAATCTGTAGCCTGTAAGATATTGGACAAGTCTACGTTGTTTTTTTTTTAAGGAACGTAAGATGATGGCCCAAAAGATCATTAAGCTATGACTTACATCACTCAACTTGGGATTCTTGTGGCAGAGACACAGATAATCGGAGGCCAAAAATTTCAAGCCTTTTAGTGCATGTAAGGCATTTTACCAAAACAATTGTAGTAACCAAAAAAAATTTTTTTTCTAAAGATAGCATTTATGCTCCCAGAAAAATATATTCTATACCCAAATGATCTTGTAATAGTAGTCTCTAAGGCTGTGAATAAATTAAAATGTTTTAAGTTGCCCATAGTAGAGTAGATATCGCCTTCCAAAAGAAAAGATTTTCATATAACATTCACACGGAATTGAACATGGGAACAGTGTAATACCCACTGAAAATAACTCTAAAGTCATGTACTGATGGTGAGTTAGTCCAGAATTTGGAAGCCTGAATAACTGAAATGTATTATTTTAAATATGTTAATATATTTACTAAGTTTGGTTCAAAGAAGGGAGGTGCTTAGAGATGCATTCCTGAGACCTGCGGCACCTTTTTTAACAGGGACAGTGAGGATGAAAGCAAAGAATCTGATCCCTTGCTGTGGCTCCTGAGCAGAGATCAGCAAACTCTCACCCAAGGGGTAAATTCAGCACACCACCTGTTTTTATATGGCCAGGAGTGAAGAGTTGTTTTTACACTTTATAAACGGTTGAGGTAAAATCAAATCAAGAATATAGTTTTTGACACGGGAAGGCCATATGAAATTCAAATTGGACTGTCCAGAAATAAGGTTTTTTGGAACAAAGCCACACTCATTCCCAACTTACTATCTATGGCCGCCTTTGTACTACAAAGGCACAGTTGAGTAGTTGCGAAGTCTAAAGTACTTACTATCTGGCCCTTCACAGGAAAAGTTTGTTGACCCTTGCTCTAAAGGAAAGAGATTAATGAAAGCAAATATGAAAGCTGATGTAGAGAACACTGAAAGTTGGAGAACGCAGGCAGAGGAGACAGGATGACTGATGAAGGTCATGGGGAAGCCAGATAGGAAAGCTTTGGAGAAAGGCAGATTAACAGCCTCCTTGGATCATTGCCCTGGGATAAATGCCAGGAAAGAAAAAGATCTACTGAAGAAAATTTCAATGGGTACAATTCACTGAGCCAGGATTAGGTGCTATAAGGAATATGGAAGAATATAAAATATGGAAGAATATAAAATTTGATCCCAACTCAGAAGCAAAACGTAAATTTCAGAGGGTTTAAAGAGGTAAATATTGAAAGAAAGAAAGAAAGAAAGAAAGAAAGAAAGGAAGAAAGAAAGAAAGAAAGAAAAGGAAGGAAGGAAGGAAGGAAGGAAGGAAGGAAGGAAGGAAGGAAG